TTTATTTCATTAAGCTGATCTTCAATCTCTGATATCCTTTCTTCTGCTTGATCGATTCAGCTGTTGAAACTTGTGTATACTTCCTGAAGTTCTTGTGCTGTGTTTTTCAGCTCCATCAAGTAATTTATGTTCTTCTCTAAGCTGGTTATTCTAGTTAGCATTTCATCTAAACTTTTTCAAGGTTCTTAGTTTCTTTCCATTGGGTTAGAACATGGTCTTTTAACTCAGAAGTTTGTTATTCCCCACCTTCTGAAGCCTGCTTCTGTCAGTTCATCAAACTCATTCTCTGGCTTGTTTTGTTCCCTTGGTGGTGAAGAGTTGTGATCCCTAGGAGGAGAAGAGGCATTCTGGTCTTTGATGATTTCATCCTTTTTGCACTAGTTTTTTCCCATCTTCAAGGATTTATCTCCCTTTGATCTTTGAAGTTAGTGATTTTGGAAGGAATCTCTGAGTGGACATCCTTTCTGTTGAGGTTGGTGCTATATCTCCTGTATGAGGGGTTTTTTTGTTTTGTTTTGTTTTGCTTTTGGTTTGGTTTTATTTGTTTGCCTGTAGAGGTGCTGCTGGGTTCCCTAGGATTCAGTCAGGCTGCTCGGTGGTCTTCCCCTGGAGTTTGTTCATGCGTGTGAGATTAGCCCCACCTTCCCAATGGTGGGCATCTTTCCTTCCCTGAGCTGGATCTTCCCGGTCAGGGTTAAACTGGTGTATTCACTGAGAAACTCTCTAGCATGCAGGCTTCAGTTTGTTGGATTTTGTTGGGGTGGGACCTGCCAGGCCATGGCCTGTTTCCCTGCTTTCATCTCTGCCTCTTTCTGTGGGATGGGTAGGTCCATCCTGTTGGCATTAGTCCAAACTTCTGCCCAGGTCCATGCAGACAACTTGTGGTGCCAGCCAGCCTGGAGCCATCACTCAGATTTGCATCGACAACCCGAAGTGCCCCACAATCCTGTGGGGCTCTCATGGGCCATGGTTTGCAGGAGGGATGAGGGAAGTGCAGGATCCGAATCGGAGCACCGAGGGAGTGAACCCCCCGACCCTCCAAGCCAGCTGCACTTTTTGGGTGGGGACCTGCCCCAGCACTTTCTGGGTGGGGACCTGCCCCGCCCTGTCTCAGTTCACCATCCCTGGGCTGCTCTAGCCCTGCTCTGGCT